AGAAGGCCTGCTTAGTTGCAGCACGCACAAGGAGGGACACATACATATGGTCCGCAGTTTTGAGGAACAAATCTGTAGATAAAAGATCTTTTGCTAAACAAAGTAAAAGAAGATGCGCAATGATAATCCTGCTTCGTTTAGCAGAGTGCTGTTGTTATTTGATATTTATCAATGTATTTTTCAGCGATAGCTAATCATCATATAAATAAACGACCTTGCGGATATATATTTACCGTAGTAGTACTGTCATCTTTGTAAATCGAGTCGAAACTGAAAAATAATGTTTGCCATTATAATTGTGTCTTACTTTCAGTGATTGTTAAGTTTTTCGATTAATAAGCTCTGTTTGTAGTGGAAAACTTTCTAAATGTGGTCATTTCCGGTTGTTCCTTAAATTGCCCGGATTACAAAGGGCCGTGCAGGCTATTGCGGTACTGAGGCAGGCTGCGAAAAATCAGCGATCAGAAACTGCTTATCGCCTCGCTGCTGAGTCGTAACTGCAAAATTGCGGCTGACGAATATTAGCGAAACGACGACGAAGATACCAATCAGCAACGACGCTATGGAGCTAGGCTCTACTTGCTAGATTCCACCGTCAGTGGAAGCTTATATTTCGAAATTGGCATGTATCCTCACTCTGAGGGAGAGAAGAAGGGTTAGTTGATGAAACCATAAAGTACCAACTCAACATTGTTGAAATCTCGTCAACGAAGCGCCAAGGCTCTGGAATCCTGAACCTCTGCGGGTGGAAGAAGTTTTATTCAGGAGTCGACAACGACGCGAGCTCAAGCCGGAGTTGGTATTCTGGTAGAACCCAGTCTGGCTGATAGAATCATTGATGGAAGCCTGTCAGCGGAAGGGTGTCAATCATCCGACTGAAGCTACGAGAGGCTAAAGCGCTGACCTTGGTACAGGTGTATGCGTCAAATTTAAAGGGAGTATGAGTCATTTTTTGAGTGGAGTGTGCTCTGTATGAAGTTCCCACTATGGAGACCCTGATGCTAATGGGCGCTTTTAATACGCATGTTGAAGCAGGCACTGTAAAGTGGAAAACTGCCATTGGAAGGAATGGTCCTAGCGACCTCAACTATAACGGCATGAAGTTGCTGCGGTTTTGTGCAAACAACGGACTGTCCGTTATGAACACTTTTTTCGAGCAACTGAGCGTGCATCAGTATACTGGTACAGGGAAGCTCGTGCACAATGTTCAATTATCGATTTAATAATTGTATCGCGTGACTTACGACGCTTTGTAATGGATGTTCGCGTTAAGAAAAGCGCAGAGCTTTCAACCGATCACCACCTTATTGCTGAAATGCAGCTTTGTGAGAAATGCAGTACCATCCGAAGATCGGGTGACAGAAGCAACCAGAGAATGAAATGGGAAACATTATTTTCAGCAGATACGGGAGCACTTGCAGACAACATCAGACGAAGGTTTGAACAGATCCCGGGTGATGACTGCTGGTAACTGATGGGACTCTTTAAGAACGACGTACTCGGCGCTGTCGCTGAATACTGCAGATTCGAACCGGTTGGCCTGCCTCCGGGAGGTCAGAAAAGAACTTTTTGGTGAATACGAGAGGTACATCTTGCAGTTAAAGAGAAGGCTGCATTCAAGAAATGGCTTGGAAGCAAAGAGCCGTCTATCCGCATACGATATATCGAAGTACGCACGGCGGCAGCAAAAGCAGTGACGAAGACCATATCTGATTT